ATGACATTTTTTCTGCATTGTGGAGAATTTCTAAAGGGAAGATGGATTTCTAACCAAGTTATTTCTGATTAAATCATGCTTTCTTCTCCTTAGGGAAAAACCAAATATTGCATTTCATTAGGCAACATGGGATCAGAAATAGGGTGATATGTGCATCAAGAGCAACACTCCAGTGCAAATCAGCATCACTAGGAGAAAGGCAATGGTTCACCAGGGGTATGAAGTTCCTTGGATTTGTTAATTTCTGAACTACAAGAGGAGCAGGGTGGAGTTGGAAAGCACGTGCTGCTGCAGTGCCATTTGGTGTATGGGTAATGCAGTTCATCATTGCATCTCTGCTCTGATGTATTCCCAGCCCCAAACCAATCATCCAGTGAAGCTTTCCTATGAGACAAGAGAAAATTAGGATTACATTTTATACTTGCAGGTGCTGAAATGAGACACAAGGATTTATTTCTGATACTAAACCTGTAGGACAGGATTTCACAGCAGGGGCAAATAAGGGCATGGGTTTGCTTCTTTTTTTTCCTTTAGCTCCAGTGTTATGAATGTGCTCATTTCAGCCAGGTGTCTGTATAAACTCTGTCACAATGAGGGTTGTACCTTTCCCCCTAACCGACACCTGCAGACAGAACCGGTGGGTTTTGGCAGCTCTCCTGCACCGAGGCTGCCGAAAGCCGTGGCTGTTGGCACAGGTGGGATGAAACGGCCTTGACACACTGAGCACGTGTCCTGACAGAGGCCCTGGTGGTGCCGTGCCCAGCACAGCTCTGGGGACACATCAGCAGGGCCCCATCCTCGACTCACCTGACACATAAAGGGCTGATTCCTGCTCTAGTCTGTGCGGGATGTGCTGCACCGAGCAGGACAGTTCCTGGTTCACACCTCTGGTGAGGATGATGCTGCTCTCAGCTGCAAAGAGCCCATTCTTGTCCTGGGCAGTGTTTTCTGAGAGGGACGGGAGATGCTGCCCGTGGGGATCGTGCCACAGCACCTGGGGCTGTGGGTACCAGCCGGCTGAGCGACAGGCCACGCGGATCCCCCCGTGCTCGTAGCGCTCCAGCGCGATGAGCAGGGCAGAGCCTCTGACTGTGGGAAAAGAGAGAGACCCCAGATGACCCTGCGGGGTCCTGGATGTCAGGGGGATAACCTGGTTGGGCTGTTTCTCTCCCTGATGTGGATAAACTGACAGACAAACCCCAGATGTTTTTTCAGACAGATGTCACCTGGAGTCAGGACATTTCTTGCAGTCTCTTTCATGTAACTGAGAGATTTGCCCTGGAGGCCACTACTGCAGCAAATAATCCACTGGTCCGGATATTAAAATGTAAAAGCACTTCGATATTCTTCCCTTATTACCCAATGCCAGATTTTTTCATATACCTGCTTTTCTGAAGGAAACAATATGAAAAAAATTCTGAAGGAGGAAGTATTTCATGTGCTCCTTATGACAATTTTACCTCTCTGAGACATTCTTGATATTTTACACCAAGGGACTTCATAAAACCCTATTTCCAAAGCAACCCCCTGAAACTGTTTCTGGGCACAAGGACAGGGAACAAGAGCACTGGCCAGGAGCAAGTAAATCAGAGGTACCAGGGACACAAACTACAGACCTGTCACCTTGAGCTCCACCTCAACATCGTCGTAATCTGAGCCACGGCGAACAAAGCAGGTGTAATTCCCTGTGTCAGATGGTTGGACACGGAAAAGCTTCAAGTCTGCGCTGCCCTTGGCAAGGCCGTCCTTCCGCAGCTCAGTGCGCCCTTGGTACTGAAGCATCTGCTCCCCGTACTGGTCCTGGCCCTCCTTGTAGCGATGCACAAAGGGCGAGAACTGCTCCCGAAACCAGATCACCTCCGTGTCCAGTGCATCCTGCCCTGGGGAGAAGCCGCAGGGCAGCACCACATTCTTGCCCTTGGCCACGGTGATGGGGTTGGGGGGTCCAGTGACATGGAGTGGACCTGGGAGAGACCCCCGGAGGAGGAAGAGAGAAGTGTGAGTTTGCTGAGGCACCTGAGCTCGGGCACAGCAGCGGCTGCTCCGCGTGGTTCGGGTGCTGCCGGGCCGGGCCATGGCGCTGGCAGCGTCCCTGTGCCGGGGCACAC